ATTTTTTTTTTTTTTTTTTTTATTATTATTAAGATTAAAAGTTTAAACATTCAAACCTTACTTAGTACTTTCCATTTTCCATTACATATAGAATCAATGTACGGCATATGTAATACAGTAATAGTATTATACAATATATATCCAACCTTAGACTAGGAACAACTACATTTTTTTCTTTTTACATTTCTTCAATTTATTTCCTATTTTGTTCTTTTTATTTTTCTGTTTGTTCTTTTTGTTTTTCTATTTTTTTTTTGTTAAAATTTTCAATGTAAATATTATTTTTTTATTAAAAAAAAAAAAAAAAAAATTTTTAATTTATTGTTTTTCCTCTTTAATTTTATATTTTCCTTAAATTAATATACTTATATAGATAGAAAGCCGAATATATATATCGGAATATATATTATATATATATAATATACGTACTTTAATATATATATATATATATATATTTCAAGAGCCATATATCAAATTTTACAGATCATATTTTTTTCTTTCTTTCCTGGAGAGTTTGTTTCTCTATTATTGAAACGAACCAAAAAAAAAAAATTTTTATTTATAAAAGTATTTCCACTTTCAAATTATAAAATTAAAAAAGTTGTTATTAACGAATTTTAAAAATATTTTATCTTTATCGTTTTTATCGCTTTTTTTTAATTTTGATGATCGACAAAGTATGTGATTCTTTGGGATAAAAAATTTCTTTGTCACTCCTGGAATATTTGAAATATTTAACGCTACAAATTACTTTTTTCAAAGAACTCATTCAATATTATGAATCATTTTATAACCTTATATTATCTGACTATGAATTTTATATTATGATATTTCGCTTGCATTGATCTTATGACCAATTATTATTGTTACAAGCATGTGATAGCCCGAATTTTCTACGTTCTTAGAACTATCAGATGATCAATAACAATCACTCAGCTGATCATGTCATGCATAAATCTTAAACCTAAAATGTAGATTTTAATAAAAAAAAGATGATAACGTGGGATTGAATAATTAAATCGTATTTATGTCCATTGGTTCTTTGAATGATCTTAATGATCTTTTTTTTCTAACAAAGATTTTTTTTTTAAGGTTCTTTAAAATTTTAAAATTGTTATAATAAAGACTATATTTATCTGTACCGTATGTACCATATATGCATTATGTAGAATATATAGCATATGTATAAATTATATAACAATAATATATATAATATATATAATTAATTATATAAATTATTTAATTATATATATATGTACAGTATATATTATTCACGAGTCACCGACAATTGGTTCTTTGTTTTATACTCTTTTTCCCATAATTCATTAATTCAATAAAAAACAAACCCTTTTACTTTTATTGGAAAATTAAATTAATTAATTATAATGCAACACAAATAAACAAATATACCCAACGCGTTAAAAATCTTATCATTATCATCGCAATTTTTTTTTTTTGTCGTCATTAATAAAATGGGCAAATTCACTGATTAAATTATGGCCTCATGCACATGTTTATTTGATGCATGAAAATTTGAATGATCGTCGGTTTGATTATTATCTCGCTTGAGACAATAATTATACAATAGTTTTTTTAAATTGTAACAGTTGAATAATAAAAATAAGGGTTCATTCATTATTTTTGTGATACTAAATACTAATATCAACGAAAATTGTCAAATTCGGAAATTTTTGTGTTTTCTTCAAATGACATGTTACAGTAGTTACATGAAATGTTTTCATCACATGTATATATCAATTTACACAGAAAAGTCACCCGACTAAGATTATCAATTTCATATAAAGAATTTTTTAAAAAGGGGTAATAAATATTTGATTCGAAATTTGGGAATACTTTTTTTAAATACAAATTTTTGGATTTTCCAAGAAAAAGTTTGAACGTGCAACCGTCAGTTTCATTTGAACATTTTTTTCAGCTTTTCGGAAAAACAATCATTGCATTTATTTATTTTATTTATTTATTTTTGATTTTTATTCCATTTATTTATTTTTTTTTATTTTTATTTCCTTTTTACTATTTATTTTTTTTTTTGTTATTTTTTTTTTTATGTATGATTTATTTACTATCTGCATGTTTTTTTTTTAATAATATTTTTTAATGATTCACAAAATTTGTTGCATATAAGTATATAACCTTTGTGGTTGCATATATTGTCATCAGTTATGCGTAATTTTTTTTTTTTTTTTTTTTTTTTTTTTTTTTTTTTTTTTTTTTTTTTTTTTTTTTTTTTTTTTTTTTTTTTTTTTTNGCTATAATCGTTTTCTTATCTATTTAACATGTGAAACCCAAAAAACTATCGCAAGAAAACCACGTTGACATTCCGCTCTTCCCAATACTCATTTGTGACACATTAATTTCTTCTTTATTGATATGTACGATACAAAAATATCGCTGCTTTTTCTTATCACACATTTATTAAACCATTTAAGAAAAGAACCAATCAATTAATTTAATATATGCTAGTAAAGCGAGAAATACAAGAAAGAAAAGAGAGGAGAATGATATAAAAAAAATATCCGATATATCCGATATAATTATCAGTGAAACATTATGAGACACAACATAAAATTTGACACGCGAGAATTTCATATTCCGAATATATATATTTTGTGTATCATTAAATCTTCTATAGTACTATTTACCCGCGCAAACTACCTACAGTCTACAATTTATCCACGTGTTAAAGAATGATGTTGATTCTTAGATTACTTTTCCAACGTGAAATGTCAAATGTCAACATAAGAATAATTTTATGATATACGAAAAAAATAAATTGATTTATAGCAAATTTCGCACTGATCATAATAACGTCAATAATGTCGGATGATACATAATTTTAGAATAAAAAAAATATTTCATATTTTCATATTAATTTCTTACGATAAAAAATGACTGAAAGAGACGTACAACGAGAAGTTTTCAATCTTTTAAAACTTATAAATGAAAAAAATATTCGGAGACTTCCATATAATGATGCAAAAGATCTTGCAACTCAAATGAGAAATGATACAATATTCACATCAATAACTGGAAAAGAAATATTAAAACAAAATATGAAATATGAGTCTCATTTAAATAATCAATATGATCAACCTATAATTGATTTGGCAACCGATGTTTTTTGGAATACACGTTTATCAAATTTGCAAAGAAATCAATTTACGAATTTAGCAAATGATGCTAACGTCATCAATGAAATTCATTTTCAAGCTAGTAATGATGCACATTTTAGAATGTCTCAATTATATAATCATCAACAAGGCACTGATAATGACATCTTTAATGGGATAAGATTTTATTAGTATTAGTTTTCATTATGCGGGCATTTCCTATTATTATTATTAATATTATTAATATCTGTGCATTTCTTATTATTATCCTTTTATAAATTGAATGTCATAATCCGTCTTATTATTATCCTTTTTATAAATATGATAATCCGTGCATCTCTTATTATTATCCTTTTTATAAACTGAATATCATAATCCGTGGATTTCTTATCTCTTCCTTTTTAAATATAAGTCCCACAATTTTTGTGCATTTCCTATGGTATTCGATAATTATGAGTCATGCGCTTTATTAATATTCATAAGAGTATTTTATTTTAGTAAATCCCGTATATTTAAACAAACGGTGAATAGTGATATTGTTTAAATTCCGGATTTTTAGTTGTATGATATACAGGACACTGGCACATGATTAGTAGGTTTTAACCATATAAGGATAATTTTTTAAAATTTTTTGTACGTTACGACTCGTTACGTTTAGTTAGAAAATCATATAGGGATTGTGAACATAACAATAAGCCAATATGCCAATTTTAAGTAAATATCAACTATATACTGTTATGAATAATTTTTGTAAATCGAAAAAAAAAATTTTTTCTTTTTATTTTTTATTTTTTATTTTTTTTTATACAATGATGTGCATAATATTGATGATGCATATGTATGGTTCAAAATATTTACAGAACATATTAACAAAAATATACATGTTGAAAGAATTATAATATTATATTTCTTGTGACTAATCAAGGGACGACTTTACTATAATAATATGCATTATTAAGAGTTACTTTTTAAAGAAAAAATCAATAATTCCGAACACATATATTGTTTAGTATTGAATGTGCGAATCATCATATCAAAATGCTACTCCATTAAAGATGTGATTTTCGAGTGGAGTATTTGCTCCTTGTAAAAGATTTATTTGGTAGATTCTATTAAGTGTATCTTCATTAGTTTGAACGAAATCTTGATTGATTCTATTAGCTTTATCGGCTAAATCCGTAAATTGATTTTTTTGTAGATCTGTTAAATGTAAATTCCAAATATCATTCGTTGCTAAATGAATGATATTTCGATTATTCACTTGTAATCGAAGAGCCTCTCGTTCAACGTTCCACAACAATAATTCTTCACCTGTTAATACTTGGATTTCTGTAAAATTTCTTACGTGAATGGCGACTTTAAGTGGATCATTGTTAAAAGGGTATAAATTAATATTATTATAATTTAAATTATTTAAAAAGTTTTGAATAGAATTTAAATTCTGAACAGTAGACATTTTGTGTTGTATTTAATATTGTTTTTTGTAAATATTTGTTTTTTTGTATTTAATATTGTTTTTTCCGAAATAAAAAAAAAATTGGCAATTTTTTTTTTTTTTTTTTTTTT